AGGGTGACAAGCCGAGTCGATCTAGCCATTTCCGCCTGTCCGTCCGTCTGTATAAGCGCAAGGATCTCAGAAGGTACAAGAGCTAGAATTACCAAACTTGGTATCCAGGTTCCCCTAAGCCCTAGGCAGGTCAGGTTTATTTTTTATTCTGACACACTCTCCTGCAATTCGTGTTTTCTTATAACTTCCGTAATTCTTGGAATTTTTAAATCAGTTTTAGTAGTTACGTCCAGTTAGTGCTTATGTGTCCGTATGCCAAGTATCATCATGATAGGTCAATTCTGAAGAAAGTTATAGCCATAAATAAAATCGCTGCCCATGTTTTGCTTGCAGCACTGCCCGCAGCTGTTGTTGTTGCTGCTGCTTTGGTTCAACTTTGTGCTACATACATACACGCATATAAACAAGCATAGACACGTGATGTAAATGTAAAACTGTACATAAACATGTCATCTATGTATGTATTAAATAAATTTTTTTAATAAATTAATTACATTAAAAAAAATTTTTTTTTTTTAATCTTTCTTTTTTTGTGGAGTACAGGCTAGTACAGGCTGTCGGGCTTGCTCGACTGTAACGTTCTATCTTGTTTAAATTAAATTATGTATATCAATTTATTTGATATTTGAATATGCAATGTTGGTGTAATAATAGTTGTGTATAACTATGTATGCGTGTGTGAGTATAATGGATTGTATTGTGGAACGATCGCTGTGAAGTACGATGTGTATGCGCTGACCGATGCGAACTGACCGAGCAAAAGGAGTGGGAGAGCTGAGGGCTCAGCGTGCAGCAATCCCCACTGTCAACAACTCATATAGGAGTCGTTTGGCAATCCCCATCCTCAATAAATACACTTAAGGACGTGCGGCAATCCCCAGTCTTAAGTTGTTGGAAGTTCTTAACTCAAACTTCACACAACCACTCTCGGCGATGCCAAGGTGTCCACATCTAAGTGACGGCGCATCAGTCTTCGGTGTCACTCAATACATACAGTGGCTGAAAGCTTATTTCAACCAGCACCCTACAAAAAATTATAGGGTCTATAAAATTTTAACTAAAAGGGATATCTGTCGCCAATCAGACACCGACGCTCCTATGTACATATGTGTGAGCCAACCATATACTGCGCAAAGCCCTAGAAGATGAGAAACACCGAGCTGAAATGGACTATATGGAGCAACTCTCCCCAAACAGCAAACGATTCCCATTGTGGAAAGCTAAATCAGGCTTATGTCCACCAATCGAGAGTGAATCACCATTACGTACACAAAGAGGAATGTGGGCTCGCAGCAACGAAGAGAAGGCAGATCTATTCGCCGCCCATTTAGAAACCGTCTTCAAACCACATCCAGCAACAAATAGCTTTGTGCTCCCACTAACCAATCATCTTGAAGCTACCACGCCTATCGTATTCCAAGCAGGAGAAGTTACAAGTGTCATTAAGGGCCAAGATTCAAAGTATATTTTCTCACCATCAATTTCAACAGCATGATGAAATGGGGCTATCCTATCCTATCCTATCCTCAGCAGTGGAGAAAATCTGTCATCACAAGGATCTGTAAAGCCGGTAAGGACAAGTCACAGCCATCATCATATAGACCTATCAGTCTCCTGCCGTGCCTATCGAAGGTATTCGAAAAACTGCTCCTGAATCGCATCAAGCAGCACCTACATACAAACAGTGCAATCCCAAATCACCAATTTGGATTTCGCGAAAAACATGGAACCATTGAACAAGTCAACCGAATAACCTCTGAGATACGAAATGCATTTGAAAAACGAGAGTATTGCTCCGCTGTTTTTCTGGATGTCGCTCAAGCCTTTGACCGCGCTAGGCTGGATGGCTTAGTTCACAAAATCAAAATATTACTTCCTCAGAGTATCCATAAAATTCTGGAGTCATACCTACAGCAAAGAAGTTTCGCAGTTAAATGCAAAGATTTCCTCTCCGAATACCATCCAATTGAAGCTGGTGTACCCCAAGGGAGTGTGCTTGGACCGACACTGTGTATTATATACACAGCAGCTTTGCCGACGAAGAGTCATACAACAATTTCGAGATTTGCCCATGATACTGTCATCCTAAGTCGCTCCAAGTGCCCAACAATTTAAATGTGGAATCTGTTAAAGATGAAATTGGCAAGGTGAAAGCAAAGACCAGCTTAAGCTTTGGAACCATCCTAATAGACTTGCTCAGAGTTTATCTTGGCAGGCTGGCCATACACGACTCCGGCGAAGAGACCTCCCAACCCAGCAATAACAGTTAGGGCCGTAATTCAAATATTTAATTATAATTAATTAAATACCTAAATTTGAATACTTATCGTAAGTCTCCGAAAGAGAAGACTCGATAAATAAATAAAACTTTAAAAAAACTTGCCCTTTCTATTAGCGTACTTTTTGCACAACGTTCTGCCTTATTCCATTGTTCATTCACTGTCTCAGGCACATCTTCATCAATAACCTTAAGTACATCCAGTTCAGTTAATAGAGCCCTAATTCTAAATTTCCAAATTGCGTACTTTTCACCATCGAACGGCTTGATATTTCGTTTTGCCTTGTCCATTTTATTCTTTTATATATACAGTAATAAAAATGACGCGGAACTAACTCGATGCAATTTCACAAGAATTTGAAAAGAAACTTTTTCATAAGAAATTGAAAAATAAAAACTGTTTCACAAATCAATTGTTTATTAGGCATGGACTGGGCCCATAACCTGTTGTTATTTATACTTCAATTATATATTTAAATAATACACAAGATATATGTTTTATGGTTTTATATTTAACTTTATATTTTATTCTGCAACACCAGTAACACAACCTCACTCGAACAGAGTTAACAAGAGAAGGAAGGAGGCCAACCGCAGGGTACTAAATAAACAAACCGATATATACTATAATAGTAATAAAACGATACATACTGCAATGGTATTTTTGACAGAAAGGAATAGGGGTATTCCAACAGAAATCGATTATTGATGTACATCAACATTGAAGTTTTCCCTTCGAATAGGGGTATTCCAACAAAAATCGATTATTGGTGTACATCAACATTGATGTTTTCCCTTCGAATACATTCTTTCTTCATAAGCACGGTGGTTGCTCTTGCAAAGAAACAATAAAGTCGTCGACAAAAAAGTAATTATCACAGAAAAGTGAGGAGGAGGAGGAGTTAGCGCTTAATAAAGTTTCATTTGCAGCTTGCTCAGGTCCGATGGCTGAATTCTCCAAAATGTTGAAATTCGTTGGTGTGTTTTTTGGGCTGGTGGTGCTCATTTCCATTGTATACTACTTGACTAACTGCTGGTATAATCATAAAGGAGAATTGTTGACCTGCGAGGATTGAGGCCAAAAAAATGATAGTTGTAACAAAAAGCAAGACATTGTATTATATTATCTTCGCAACTAAGAAACCTTTAATTACATGAATAAAGTGTCAATCATTTCACCATAGTTTGTGTTTTTGTATCAACATGCAACTAGCACATATGTATGTATTTGTTTGACTTGACCGGCAAACGTGAACGTGCCAACGTTTGCGTCGATGGTATATAAGCATGGCATGAATGGTAAAAGCTGCCCACGCCCTTTTACATATGTATGTACATATGTATGTACAACACATAAGCAGTGAGAAAAAAGTGATCAATCGAAAAGTTCAATAGTGCCTTACTTTTATTCACTCAATAAGAATAAATTTCCGTTATGAGAATAATTGTCAGATATATACATATATCGTATTAAATATCTTATCGGACTTTACTTAAGTTGTGCATGTTAATATCAATTAAATGCCGATATCACCATATTCTGCGGCTGTCAATAATTAATAATTATTATCAGAATATTTATTCAATTAATACTGACAAGGGTGTCAGTTGTGCAAATCAACAGCCGTAAATAAATATCGACAGCATATATTTGCAAATAGGTGTAGTTGTATATAAAAATGTCAAAAAGTGAATCAATTTCTTCTGACTATTACCTTAGAAGTAAGCAGATTGATTACAAAAAAATGCGTTCTGCTGCTGGAAAATTAACACACGAAATTATAGCTGAGTGCAGCCTAGACACCAGCACGACCACTGCAACATTACCACTCACTAGTTGCAGTTGTAAACCCACTTATACCATGGTTGCTGGCTTGGCAAGTGTTAATGATCAGGATCAATTCCCACCACTCATCTGACAATGCTGCTCCAATAATCAGTGCCGATGCAACAAGATTGCTGGATTCCCAAAAGCAGGGAGCAGTTAAAAGAAAAAATGGCAAATTTTTGTCTGCCAACGCCAGAGCTAAACGGTTGAGCAGTTGCCTAGCCCCACATCCACCCCCGACTAGAGCTCATAATGCAGACTCAAACAACAGGTTTGCAATTCTTAGAGGATGAAAACTCCAGTGGCATAACTGAAATTCCTACTCATGCCTCCTCAGTTGGCCACCAACATATTGATACAGGTGATACCGCCAGCTGTACACAGCATAGTGTAATTAATGCCCGCATCTGTACACAAAGCACTAATACATGAGGCATTACTAACTACATATCACTTCCTATTGACATGATGTCCGAAGAAGCCCTTGAAGCCGGAATACAGATATCAGGGATATACGGCAAAACCATTCCCGTAAGGACAATATATCTAATGCGATGAAAGATGTCGTGAATGGTTTACTTGTGTCATCAGACCCGCTTATAACATCTTTATCAAAAACATCAAAAATGATCAAAAAATATGTTCAGTTAGGTAAAGTGGTTGCTGGGTTGCTCGTTAATGTCAATAATTGGTTGATGTCAATAATTGGAATTGAATTAAAATTTCGCATACGCACCGTGGGCTATAAGTACTTTTTAAGTTGTTAGGAACAACTATTGACGTTCCAATTGCACACACACACATACAGACATAAGTTAGTAATAAGCATACAAATTGTGTCATTATTTAATTCAAATCCATCCTCCCTCTGTCGATTCTCTCAATCTGTTGCAGAAAACCCTCGCGCCCTTCACCTTCACCATATCAACGGACAAACGTTACCTGCTGCTGGCACAGAACGTTGTCAAGCTTTTTCGACACTCGTACCTGGCGCAGTACACGCTCTACGATATACACACGAGGTAGGTGATGAATTCGTTCCACTTGTTACGACATCTAACGTATTTGGCACGTCCTCTCCCTTTTTTTCTCCGACCTAGCGAGAGCATCAAGCTGCGCCACAACGATCAGCAGGAGGAGGATTGGCCCTATCTGCACTATGCCCGATTTGCGCCGACGGGCAATGCCCTCATCTGGGTCCACAACTATGACATCTACTATAGGCAGGAGGTGCGCTCCCCCGCCGCCCATCGCATCACGCACGATGCAGTGCCTGGCGTGGTATACAACGGCATACCAGATTGGCTCTACGAGGGTGAGTTAGTTGGCTTTATGCTTTTACAGTTTGAAAGCCAGTGCCCTAACTAGATAAATCGAATAACATTTGCGTCCGCCAAGGAACCTACATTTCATTGTTAATTTACTTTCTTAGAGCTGCAATTTATTAATGAATGAAAAATTTTATTCTAACTGAGAGGGAGATACTTAAAGTAGGGTTCTAAGCCCCACATTGAGAGCAAAAAGCAAAGACTTAAACGATTTCTCCAAGACAATAATTGCCTGAAAAGAACTGAGAATAGCCACTGAGCTAAATCGACTCCCTTCGAAGCAAAGTCTCTGTTATATATTTCTTTGACTCGCCTTTTTCTATTGCACTCTCGATTACCTGTACATTCTAGTTATGGCAATGTTTCACATAAATTTAATGTCGTCTCTTGATTAATGTGTTGCTTTATCGCTCAATTTTCCCTGCCTTTCGATATCAATAGAGGAAATTCTGCATGCAAATAATGCCATTTGGCTCACGGACGATGGACATCTGATGCTCTACGCCAGCTTCAACGATACGCACGTGCAGGAGCAGCACTTTGCCTGGTACGGAACTACAAGTGGGGCCGGCGTGGGCCCGACAGGTGGCGCTGCTGCAGCCGGCATGGGTGCTACTAATGCTAATGCTGGTGGTAATCCGCATGCCAACTTGTACCCGGAAATTAGATCCTTACGGTGAGTGGCCGCTTAAGCTGTATTACTTTTCGATTAAGTGTTAATGATGAGCTCGTGACTGTCATTAGTCCTCATAGTGTTGGCATAATGCTTAAAATTCATGAAGTGACAGTCCACACACTCCCACTGAAGGGCACACGTTCCCAGTTAGTTGGCCCTTTTCACGACTCGCTGCCTTCCTGTCTGCACAGCAGGTGTGCAAAGTCGCAAGTCAATTTTGTTTTAGCAGCCAAGGCGTGCCTCTGTAGATATGTGCTAGCGGGTGTGAATGTGTATGTATGTGTGTGTGTGTGTGTATGCGTGAGCTGAACACTTTGGCGACATTTTTGGCATGAAAATTAGTTTTGGGAAAGTCAACTAACACTTTAGCAGCTAAGCTCTGGGAACACTGCACTCACACCTACCCACGCATCATAGGAACTCAATGGAAAAAAATGGGCTACCAACACACGCACATTTGAAGATATAGACACATGGTACCCACATATAGACATATGCACACACCTCGTTAAGCCGTAACAAGTCGAACTGTCAATTTAAGATGTTAAATTGTCAGGTTCACAAAGTTCGTGGCTCGTTATTTGCATAACCTTTATCCCAAGTGGCTTTAAGTGATTTCTAGAGTGTTCTCATTAAGGAGTATGGCGTCCAATATGGAAAGTGGATATAGGATAATAATAATAAGTTTTTCGTAATTTGTTATTATATTTTCAAGACATTTTCAAAAATTCTGCATTTAAAAGAGCTTATAAGCCATTAGGGAAGTGCAACATCAGCCTTTGGCGCCCAACATGCCATATGCCATGCTGTTTATATTAATATACAAGTAGCTTGTAATAAGTAAAATTAAATTAAATTAAATTTGTTCGAATTGATCACCCCACCCTGTTCTTAATGGTCCTATTGCATGAAAGCAGCCCTTGGCGGAATAATTTATAACATTCCTGTGCTCGTCTTAATAAATGTAACTATAGATTCACTAACCAGCATTCCAATACGAGACTAGGGCTATTTTATAAATGTATGCCAATAATGGCGCTTCATTAAACAATAAGAAATTAATGTATATAGAAATACAAAAGGCATCCAAAAGTGTACAGAAAAACATGTCTGTTCTCTGTGTCGCCGCATTTGAATGGGTTGATGCGTTAGTTAGGTAAATATTTTATCTATGTTACTGCCATTAAAATTCGAAAGAATAGAAGCCGAATTATCGCTGACAAAATAACACCGAATTCGTGCAGTCGGTACAAAGAAGACAATCGAATTAAGAGCAAATATTGAGCTCTGTTTAAGCTCGGTTAAACTTTTTGGGAAACTTTCCAGTTGATGACATGAAGCCAAAAGCATAATTGTTTATCTGTTGACAATGTCTACGAGTGGTATACGCAATTAGAAGATGGTCGTGATGACTTGAATGACGACGAACTTGTTGGGCAGCCAAATTTGCTGATTATCGAAGTTGCAGTCGAAAAATTGCAAGAATTGATCAAAATATAAAAAATCTTTGATGAAATCAAAGCAAATAGAGTTTATAGTAATATCTCCAAATTGACGACCTTTTCAATTTTAACCAAAAAATTGGGTCTGCTGAATTTTCAGAATGCAGTGCGACACTTCTTACTGTCTTTGACAAAAAAAAAAACCCACATTAACCATCAAGCTCTACCCTATTTATATATATATTTGGCTCTTTGAGACAATTAGCGTTTTGGAACTTTGAATTTTTCCATGAAAGAAAAGCGCTATTACCACATCGATACGAGCTTTTAGCTCGATCTCGATCGAAACGCATCTTCAGCTTACAAAATGCCTTATTATTTTGAATTAAAAATTTTAATTCCGTGTTCTTTTTTTTTGAAAAGCCCTGTCAAATGTTCATAATACAAATATTATTCCTTTGATATTCAATCAAACCCATGAGGCGATAATATAATTCAAGCTTAGGAATATTATAAAGGCTTACAGTTTGTTTCATCCCACGGTGAAGGATCTTTCGTGTGAATGAGATATAGATGTTTGTAGGTGTGTGTGTAGCAGCAATTGTTGTCCTGAGTCGTATTAAAGATGAGCCTTCGAAGCATTACAAATCCTCTGGCACAAAACCTAACAATTGGATGTTCCTTATTAGTAATGTGCTCAACAGCCGAACGAAAAATGTAGCATTATTTAAATGTTTAAATAACTGACTAGGCAGTCGATTTCACAGTTGATCAACTTTTTGACTTTTTCATTTAAAATGTAATTCTAAAAAGTTTTGATTGCAACCGGAAACGACAACTTGGCCTTATTTAAACAAATAATTTAAAATGAATGAAAGTGTAGTACAAACGAAGTGAAAATATTGAACATCTGAGTGCTTCGTGGTGCGGTGAAAACGACTTGGCCCGATCGGATTGCATGATCGGCAACAGCTAGACGAAGAAGAGTCCAGTAATATCCAAGCTGTAGCCGCTGTAGGCATAGAAAAAAGAATACAATCAGCATCTGCCATATGATTAGTTAAATGTACGAGTATACTTACCCATATGAGAAAAATCCCTCTGAAAAGCAGATATTTAATAAATTAGGAATTTTCTGTTGGTTCTCAAGTTATCTTGCCTTAAGAGAGTCAAAGTTGTAAGCAATATCTCTCTATATGGTTACGACTTTATAGATTAAAGTGCGACTTGCATTGTTCACTATTTGTAAAATGCAATGCATCAACCAAATACAGCTGAGATGTATTCCCATTTCAATAGATTACAATTCTTCAATTGAACAATCAAAGCGCACACAACCGACTGCTAGTAGGAAAAGGCAGATCCAGGGATTAACTTAGACTGGAGACCCTTTTTTCGGCCAATTTTCATTGACCATGTCGTATTCTGACTTGGCACAGATGGCACTAAGTATTATAACAAAACTAAGCGCAGTAAGAATACAGATTGAATAATTAGTAGCAAAAGAAAAACTACCCATTACTAGGCCCTCTCTATATAAGTACGAGTATTTAGGAACAGCTTATTAAACATCAACATCTTATTGTTGCAAATATCAGTAAGGTGTTTCCAACACAACTTAGAAATTGTACACTGTTTAAGTCAGCTTATCAGCCATTTAAGTATGCTTGTTATAAAAAACAAAAACATGCAGAACTTGTGATTAGCATCCAAAGAGGCGCATAAAGATTTAATTTGCATTTTAGATTCTGTTAATTTTCTGTTTACAAACATTACTATACGTCATCAGATTTTTGATACCAATATGGCTCAAATTATCACAGATGGTCCCGGAATTTCAGACACAAGCAATTTTTTCTATATTCACTCGTATATTCAAGACTTAAAATACACCTAATTCTGTTTTTACACGGTCTTTTTTACATGATTTTGATATAACACGGTTTGAAAATTACAAATTTCATATATATTTCTTTAGAGATAAGAAACCAATCACCTATTTTTGCATATAATCAATGATCAATGTCTTTTTTTACATGGTTGTTTTTGGAACCAGTCTATCGTGTAAAAACAGAAAACAGAAATCAAAACTTTCCCGCAGAATCGATGATTTATTGAAAAACTTGTGACTGATTGGCGCCCAAAGTGGGGCATCAACAACATATTTTAATTTCAAGGACAACTATGCGACCAAATTAACATTTCATGTGAATATACAATAATAGTTTTCATCACTTTTTATTTCTTTTTGACAGCTATCCCAAGCCAGGCACACAAAATCCCGTAGTCACTTTACGCGTGGCCGACCTAGCAGATCCCCATAATATACACATCAAGGACTTGCGTCCTCCGCTAATTTTACAACATGAGTAAGTCAAACAAGAGAGAACGCTACAGTCGAGCAAGCCCGACAGTGTAATACCCTGTACCCAGGTAAACTTCCGTCACTGAGTTATATGCGCCCATAGCAGCAGCAAAAAGAGGAAGAAGAAGAGTGAACTTGTTGCTGCAGTTTGTGGGGGTTGTACTGGCGAAAATTTGTTTCGCTAATAACTTTTCTTAGAATTGACCGAATTGAATAAAATTTTGAACAACAGTAGACAATTATATATAAATTATGTGTGCAAAGTTTGGTTTAGGTAGCATTTGAAATGTGGACGCTATTGACGAAATTCTGCAGCGGGGGAAGGGGGGGAAAATTAAAAAAACAAAAATAAACTCGTCCTTACTCGGACCTAGGAGAATCTGGATGCCAACTTTGGTTATTCTAGCTTTTATAGTTTCTGAGATCTTCGCGTTCATCCAGACGGACAGACGGACGGACAGACGGACAGACGGACAGACGGACGGACATGTCTAGATCGATTTCTCTCATCATGCTGATCAAGAATATATATACTTTATGGGGTCGGAGATGCTTCCTTCTGTATGTTACATACTTTGCACAAACCTAATATACCCTTTTTACCCTACGGGTACAGGGTATAAAAATGGCACAATGTCCTTCAATTATTAATATCATCTCCCCTACCCCACTCAGAGATCACTACTTTAGCAGCGCCGCCTGGGTCAGCAGCACTGAGATCGCAGTGGTGTGGCTTAATCGACCGCAAAATATATCCGTGGTCAGCGTGTGCAGAAGTCCCTCGTTTGTGTGCGTCGAGGTAAGGCGAATGGCTTAATTAAGCGTTAACTTTGAACAGCAACAGCTCATCTGTTTTCGCCCTGAGCAGACCCATCGTGTTAGCGGCGATGGACGCGGCTGGGTGGACACCGTCTCAGTGCCGTTGTTTTCAATGAATGCAACCGTCTATGTCGCCATCTCGCCACTGCGTGACGGTTCGTTTGGTAAGTAAAACCTCGACTGCTCATATGTCCATGGGGAGCTTTTGTTTGTAGCTTAACGCAACCACCATTCATCCATGACAGGCTATTTCCGGCACATCGTGCACGTGGACATTGACAATAATCGCGTGCTGCCGCTCACGCACGGACAGTACGAGGTGAATCGTTTACTGCATTGGGATCAGGTGGATAACTGGATGTAAGTAGCCGCAACAAACTATAGGACTACTGCGAGTGTTAGCTATGTTCATGATTTATTTCTTTCTAAAAAATGTATATACATTTATTAAACTATTCTGCTACCAATATGGCAGCTTAAGAGCTATGCTTAAATTGTAACATTTAGAGAGCATTGGTCTAACTAGCTTTGCAGCTCATAAATTAACGATTAGAGAAAGCAAGGCTGAAACTGACTGACGGGTTTCTAATCTTATTTCATTTTATCTCCGTTACTATGAAAAGCTACTTCCTGGGCACGCCAGAGCGCTTACCCTCACAGCAGCATCTGTACCGCATATCCGCATTTCCCGCCCGCCAGGGTCAGGCGCTGCACACCCCCGACTGTCTCACATGTCCAGCGCAAATGCAGCGTGGCGATGGCTACGAGGAGGGGCACACTAAGCCACCGCCGAAGCTGGTCACCGCCTGGGATGATGACTGGGAGGACTCGGAGGAAGCAGAGCCACTGCCACCAGCCCCCGCTCTGCCCGTGGAGCAACGTCATTCGCGTGGACGCAGCACGCCGCAGCCACCACCGCCCAGCGACTGCCTCTACCATGAGGCACAGTTTCCCTTTTCTTTGCAGGCACGCTACGTGCTCATCGAGTGTCTGGGCCCCGTTGTGCCCAACTCCATTATCTATGGCTTGAAGATAACAATGCGCGGACCGCAAGCCAAGCGCCAAAGCACCCAGGAGGAAGTCGACCCGACAGCGGCTTCCGAGACAGAGCCAAAATCCCAATTTCTGGAGTTGCTCGTCACGGTGCAGAATAACACTCGCCTCAAGGAGAAAATGAGACGCACTGCACTGCCGCAAGTAAAAACCTTCCCGGTCATGATATCGGGCGGCTACCATGCGCAGGTGCGGCTCTATTTGCCGCCCGTGCTGCGTGAGGATGAGATTACGCGCTATCCCACCATTTTGCACGTCTACTCGGGTCCAGGCACTCAGCTGGTCACGGACCGCTGGCATGTGGACTGGAACACTTATTTGGCGGGCAGCAAGGACTACATAGTCATCGAGATCGATGGCCGCGGCTCCGCAGGTCAGGGGTATCAGCTGCTCCACGAGGTTTACAAACGTCTGGGTAGCGTGGAGGTCTCGGATCAGCTGGAGGTTAGCGAATACCTGCGCGACAATTTGCACTTTATCGATGCCCGTCGCATGGGCGTCTGGGGTTGGAGCTATGGCGGCTATACAGCCGCTCTGGCGCTGGCCGGTCAGCAGTCTATATTTCAATGCGGCATTAGTGTCTCGCCAGTGAGCAATTGGAAGCTTTATGGTAAGTCCAATATTGAAGGTATAACTGCAAATTGAAAGAAATGGAAGCTACTCTGAATAGATAAACACTAACAAAAAAACTTCAAATATTATGGCAAATATAATTATTTGTCTCACCACGGGATGTGCTTTTTAAATTATAATTTCCTTGCAATATATTAATTCCTTCTATAGCAAATGGTTAACATTGTGCCGAACATTAATAATAAAGAAAGTATTACGTTCTTGCAGAATAGAATACGAATAGTTTTGTCCATATAACGCTTCTTGGCCTTTGTTAGAATAAGAAGAGCAGCACATATTCGCCAAAACCTTTAAGATTCGTGCTTAAATAAGCTGAGAATTGACGAGGCTTCTTGGTCAATTGAAGCTAGTGGCGCAATTTCAAACATTTTAATTAAGCAATTTTTTTTTAACTACGTGTATTTTAAGACTTTGATAGCCAATACTTATAATGGCCCTGTCTCTATCACATTTATATTAATGTGTTCCCAATACGAAACTTTTTTTCAAACAATTTTAATAACGATTTATTGGCAAGGCCCACTAGAAATTGCCTTACTCTTTAAAATATCCTCACATTTCACAGACTCCACCTACGCGGAACGTTATCTCAGCTTTCCCAATGTGACCGACAACTATAAGGGATACGAGGAGAGCGATCTATCCAAGTATGTGGATAATTTGCGGGACCGGCAATTCCTGTTGGTGCACGGCACGGCCGACGATAATGTGCACGTGCAGCAATCAATGGTGCTGGCACGCGCCCTCACCAGCAAAGGTGTGCTCTATAAACAGCAAATCTATCCGGATGAGGGACACAGTTTGTCGGGTGTGAAGCGACATTTGTATCGCTCCATGACCGCCTTCTTCGAGGACTGTTTCAAGAAGCTGGTGAGTTAGAGTGTCCCAACTGTTTTATTTACATTTTTTCACCACTTTGTATATAATCTACCACTCGCCGTCTACCGTCTAACTCTCTCTCTCCTGCTCTCTCCAATTATAAAAATTCACCACAACAATCTGCCACACGACTTTTGGGTTTTTGGTTCTTTTTGCTTTCCTCTTGTCAACGTTACCTCTCACCGTCAATATACCCGTATACATATGTATTCCCATAGCTCGATCAACAACAGCAGAATCAAACAGATTCCATGGATTTCTTGGACTTTCATAGTTTCTATGGGCGTTAAGTGCCGATAGTTGCCTGAGGGGAGTTCACCTAGGTACAGTCATCGTTGTTGTTTTTGTTCTTCTGTCGCTTATAGCGAGCGTCGTTATCTGCGTTGTTGTTGTTGTTGTCGTTGTTGCCTTGATTGTCATTCTGGTTGTTGTTGTTATAAGTTTCTCTCTTTTCAACTCAATACTCAATGTTTTGATGGCCGTTTTGGGATCTTTTTCCAGCGATTTAAAGCTTTCTGAGTTGTTCTGGCTATTATTTAGCTTAATTTCTTTTGTTTTTAAGTTCTGGTTGTTGGTGTTTGATGTGCAAGTTTTACTTTCCCCAACTACATTTATTCTATTCTTCGATTGTTCTTGCTTTACCGTTTTATTTTGTGCCGGCTTTGGCTTTGGCAAGTTTTTGTCTACTTTTTGTTTGTTCTTGAGTTGTTCTTTCCTTTTCTGCAGATCTATGGCTATGTGTGTGTATTTATTTATTCGTTCAACTTGTTGTTGGGGCCAGACACAAACACATCGTGCCACACACACCCACACACACACACACACACGCCTATCACTTGCTACTACTTATGCATACCTAAATGTTGCTTATGCTTTGATTGTGCCTACTTATCTTTCAATGTGCCGCCCACCCAGCCCCAGCCCGCATCACAAATTCCAGACTAACTTGCCAACTTTATCTTTCTCCTCCAATGCTGAACCAACAGGTGCCGCCGGAGTCTAAAGCTGGCCTCGGCAATGGCGGCGATATGCAGCAGCAATAAAAACCAGGCAACAAAAGCAACTCAATAAAAAATACGTTTCTTTAACAGCCAATGAAATTAAACAGTACGTGCAAAACAGTTTAAGTAAATTACATTAAATGTAATTTGCCATTAACATATACATACGCACACACACACACCTATACACACACACAGAGGCAGTGCCTAAATGGCGTCACAAATAGCCAAAAGGCCATGCCAACATCAACAAGATGAAACGTAAATGGCATTTTGTGTAAAATTAAAAACCAAAAAAAGCATATTTAAATTTTAATATTAAACTGAAGAAAGAAATTAAAATGAAAATGCCAAGTAAATGTGGAAAATAAATGCAAACAAAACGAAAAATCAACATGGTTGTGAAAACATAACTCAAATGGCAAACAGAGCAACAACAAAAAACACACACATTACAAACTCACCAAAGCGCACACATGTACAGTGAATAGTGCTTAAATGAAATCCTCAAAACATGCATATATTATTTAAAAATTACATATAACATTCTTTAGTTCTAAAAATAATAAAGGGTTGCTAAACAATTTAAAGTTCTGGCTGCACTTAGCAAAACTACTCTTTCTGTTAATGAATCTCCAAACATTAAAATGAAAACGATATTTTTAATTAGTTTCAATGTTTGACATCTCTTTTATGCAACTCCTATTATAAGGATATTTAAATATTTTCTTAAGAAAATAAGTACAATCAAAATATAATTATTATTATATTATTATTATTTTTTAACCGACGTATTACAACAAAGTGTTTACTTAACATTCATTTTTAACTTAAATTCAGTTATCAAACCAACAATTTGCTGGGAATATTTGAGCTTGTAACTCTACGGATCAGGATTCTCCTTTGACCGAAAAAAACAATATTTATGTAGACCCTTTTTTTCGTAATATATCGAGTCGGTCAGTTCTGGATCAGTAGAAAAAGAGCGCTGTGAAGAGTAGGTGGGAAAGATTACTAGACATGTTGTCTAGATGAAAGATTATTGGAAAATAATTTATATTTTGTTGACAATGGCCAATAATCAAATTTTGAAAAATGATGCCAAGCAACGTTCTAGTTGTTAATGATGGAAGATTTAAAAGAAAAATCGATCGCTAAGGCATGCTGGAGAGCAAGTACTGGGATCTCAGAATCTTCCATTTATTGTTTTATCAACTCAGCCCCAAATATAAAACAAAGATTCGTTTTTAGCTATACATTTATAACCAACTCGGACTTCCTTGAAAGCATTAGTTGCCAACAATTCGGCAGGCAAATCCATCAACACAATAGGACTAGTACTATCAGGTCTACTACAGTTTTCGATTTAATAATTCTTAGAAACTGTTCATGGTATGACTTCAATATAAAATGAATTCGACGAAGCTGACATTTTAGTTTTGACTTACAACAAATTTTATTATACCATCTACCTGAAGGCACTCTTTTTTGATTTATTGTAAGGGTGTGCTAAAACAGCAAAATTTGGGTACATTTGAATTTTTTTCATTTGTGCTCATTTCATAGTATTTATTTCAGCAAATTATTTATTCAAACTAAATAATTTTTTGTTTTAATCTTTATTCTTTATTTAAGATCTGCCCTAAGGAGGATATTTATTAAATTATATGGTAGCATTGGATTTGTTAAATCATGCCTTCTTTCAATATAAATAATTGAAATTTAAATCTTCACTTAAGCGGCTACCACTGTACTCGTCGCACGCAAAGGCATGCTATAAAAGCGTGCACAAACACACACACACACACAGACAGCCACACACACAACCACACACAGCCATACACATTTATACATGTGTGTAATAAATGCGTGGCAAGGCCGCGAGACCATGTCTGATAATTTATGCATTTGTTGCATAAATTCTCAATGAATTTTACAAGAAATATGTTGAAATTGAAAAACATTTACATATTTGGTGACACACATGCACACACACACACATGCACACACACAATCATAGGTGAAAGCAGTGCGTGTATATTGGTGGCGGTTATGTTGGGCGTTTTTTATGAGCTTGCCATAGACGCATAAATGTTTGGGGAGGTGAGAAATTGTGTTGCCAGCGAACCATAAAGGAAATGGCCATAATAAATCAAAGAGTGATGGCTTACTATCTTCAAATGGCCATAAAATGAATTCAAATGGCATAAATAAGCACACATCCATAAAGTATGTCGATAATGAGGATATTAGTTTAAAGAAATGGTCAGCCATTACACTACATATAAAGTTTTAATACAGTTCAAGAAAGATCTGCCTTCGTTCTTGCTTGTTTCTGACGCCCAATTACAATTTTTAGTAACTACCCTAAGATCTTGATTGAAATTACAAGCATTATATTTTTTTGCAAGTGTCCTCCAATGGAAATAGAAACAGCAACTAATTTTGTTTGCATAAAAATTAAGAATGGAGTGGTATTCAAATATTCCTACAATTGTATGAATTTGATTTTTAAATTAAAGGAATGGTTGTGGTATTCAAATATTAAAACAATTATTTGAATTTTCTTAAAATTAACTAATAATTCGTTAGCATGAAACTGGAAGCATCCTCTTAACATAATAAATTATTAAATTACTTCTAGTAAGTAAGAAATGAGAAGGCGAGAATATTTTAAAATTTCCAAACCTTTATAAGTGATGAGCCGAAATTTATATACATACGTAAATCGTTTTTGTATTCAGTATTATTAATTGTTATTTAATTTAAAAATCGGCTCAATTTTTGTATATTTATTTGTATATATGTACATTTCTTCAAACAAGAGATTTTTTGCTCTAATGTTGCTTAAAAATACACCATCGTTCGCTGGTAAGCTCATAAAAAACTCACGACATGCCATGCACAACAAATTTAATTAAATCAAATGACATAAAAATTACAACAGCAATAAATAAGGCAAAATAAATAACTGAATGAATGAGCGGAACAAATGTGTTTAAAGGCATAAAACCAGTAAATATAAAAAATAGAAATATATACATAAAGAAAATAATGACAAGCAGCCGAGAGAATAAAAATAGACATAAGAATCAATTTAATTGAATTTCACAAAAGCTAAAAAAGAACATAATGCCAAAAAATAAAATACAATTTTATTTGACTCAAATATATATGAATATGCATACATAGGCATAGTTTGGCATGTAAGTAGCGCTGCAATAAGTATATTCACAAGCATACATATTTATATAAATTATTGTAGCTATAAATATACATACAAGTATATATAAATATATATAATTACATGAATTTTGTTCATTTTATTGCAAAAACTTCGCGAGAAGGCAAACAAGTAAAGTAAATTTCTAAATGAGAGTAGAACAACAGTAGTGTAAAACAACAACAACAAAAACCAAATAATAATTAATTAGTAAAAGAAACAAAACGAAACTATAGAGGAAACCAAAACCAAATGCCTAGTTAATTAAGTGGAAAAACCAAAAATAATAACGAAAAGGTCAAAAATAGCTGCGATACACGTAAAATGCAAAATGCAAATTGCGACTGGCAAAATAAAGAAAAGAAGCAAAAATATAGTATGTTGACAAGGGCAACGCAAACGCAAATGACAAGACCAGACCAAGCAAGGGCAACAGCAGCAGCCAGACTCTGGGACAATATGCCAAAGGATTAGCTTTAATTAGATTCTGGCATAGCATACTTTCCAGCGCGCGCGAGTTAATTAGCAGCAGCAGCAACAACACCAACAACCTGTGGTTGTAAACGATGATGGCTGTCGTTGCCTTCTGCCTTCTGCCACTGCCACAGCTGCTGCTTCTGACTGCGCATTATATTACTAATGCATAACACCTGCCATTTGGACTGAGCGGTGAGCGGTGAGTAATGAGGGACGCAGGGCGAGGGGGTGGTGGTGCGCCTGTTTAAAGGGTGTCCTTGCGCTCCCATGTGGTTCAGTGCCTAGAAAATTTGCAAGCCAACATAAATTTGTAGGCGCCAGACACTTTTTGCGACGCTTTCTGCTTTCTAAGCATAAAAAAACGCGCGCTTATAATAGAGGGATAAGCCAACGATATTATTTAAAAGTGCAGCACTCATAAAATGCTAACAACAGCCATACAGTGGTGTAGTTTCACAATTCAGCTCCTAGAGCATGGCAACGCTGAATTCGATTTCAAAGTGTACATCCTTTGTAGACTCTGTAATATTTATGTCGCTAGTACTACGACATATACGAGCTTTACAAATGGTGTGGCCTTTTCTCTTATTCACAAATTGTTTGTTATGCATGAATGCTGAAACTACGCCGTTTTTGTCACCTCTGCAATCCAAGCATTTTTTCTGTTGACATTGTTGAAATATTGTCAGTTTTATATTTTAAAGAATTGTTCAAGCTTGTTCATTTTATCTCTCGATTCTCGTCTGAAGTCTGAACGCCGACGACCATCGACTCTGGGCTTGCTCGACTATGCCAAAAACTTCTCTGCCTACATTAAATCTGACTACTTAGCTCTATTCTAAATACTAGTTTTAGTTGTTGGACCGATCCCGCCCTGCTCGTTGCGGTTCCTTGTTTGCTTCGCTGTTGTTTTCTTCCTTATCCTTATTTGTTTCCAAAAATCAAAAATATATCAAAACTGTATATTGCGGAAGACCCGACTTTCTATTAGCAAGAGTTTTTTTCGATGAGATTTCAAAAATGTGTCCACTGTGTATGAAGGGGCAAGTCCTTTATTTTTAGACAAAAGGTCGTTAAGGCAAAGGCATAAAATGGGCAGCCATTTTTGAAATGCTGCTGGCCAGCACGTGTACACATGCATGCATAGATGTGATGTGTGTATGTGTGTGTGTGTGTTGACATGAAAAGGTGTTTGCTTTAAGTGGTGGCCAGGCTAGGATCTGCTTCGGCAAGTGACAGTTTTAGAGGCAGCTGAGACAAAAAGCGCCCTACCCTGTCGTTCAAATCTGCATGAGCAAACAGATTGCGCAGTTATTTTGGTCTATATGTGTGGGTGGGTGAATGTGTGTGTGTGTGTGTGGGTGTGCGTAGCAGCTGTCTAGCTGCACGTTGAAATGTTGAGGCTGTCGCTGTCTAATTGATTTACACGCACAAAAGTTTTTGCGAATATGTCAGACTAAAGCTATTCATACCTTGACATGTTGTGCTAAATCTGTCTGTTTGTCGTTCCTCTGGCAGTCTTGTGATTTGCACGCTCAAACTAAATAATTGAATTGCTCTAAATTTTTAAATGCTTTCTATGTAGTGTACTAAGGACCAATTGAAGAGAAGTAAATCGAAATGGCAAACCAAATAAATATGAT